CTATTTTTTCCATATGAGATTTCAATTTATTTTAAAATAGTTATTAAACAGTTTGAGGGAAAATATTTGCAATTCACATATCTGATAAAAGACTAACATCCAGACTATAAAAAGAATCCTCAAAACCCAATAATAAGAAAACAGACAACCCTCCAAAAATGAACAGTATTTCAATAGACATTTCACCAAAGATGTATGGCTATCACATAAACACATTAGAAGATGTTCAACATTATCAGTCTCTAGGAGAATGCAAATTTAAACCACAATGAGATGCCACCACACACCTGTTAAGATGGTGAAAAGAGAAAGAAAGAGACAATATCAAGTGTTGGTGAGGATGTGGAGAAACTAGAATTCATATATAGCTGTTGAGGTTGTGAAATGAAATAGTCACTTTGACAAATAGCCAGGCCGTTTCTTATAAAGTAAAACAGACGCTTCCCATACGACCCAGCAATCCTATTTCTAATTATTTATCCAGATGAAATAAAAACTATGTTCACACGAAAACCGTAATGTGCATGCTTGTAGCTGCTGTATTTACATACAACGGCCCCAAACTAGAAGCAACCCAATGTCCCTCAGCTGGTGAATGGGTAAAAACACTGTGGTATATTCATCAATGGAATACTCTTCAGCAATCGAGAGGAACGAACGGCCACAGTAATAATGTGGAAGAATCTCAGATGCATCATGCTAAGTGAGAGAAGCCATACTCAAAAGGCTGCAACTGTGTTGTTTCATTTGTGGGCCTGCAGAAACCGTACAGAAACAGAAAAGTGGTTTCCAGGGGCTGGGAATGAGGGGAGGAGTTGACTACACGGGGAACAGGAAAGTTTTGGGGGCAATGGAGTTTCTCTACACCTTGATCGTGGTGGTTACATGACTGTATGCATTTACCAAAACTGCATGATAGAACCATATACTAAAAAGGGTGAAGTTTACATAGGTCAGTTGTACCTAAATTCAAAACTGAAAAATTATTTAGGTTCATCCTAGGACTGAGATAACTGCTAAACACCGAGAATGAAGAGATCAGTAAGATCAGTCTGGCTGAAGGAGATTGGATGGACACAGTTAAATACAAGTTAGAGCAGGATTTTTTAAGTGGAGGTATAAGAGTGCTCGGGTAGCACACAGAAGATTGCAATAAACTCTAATAGTGTCTCTGTGTGTGCTCGTCTTTGAGGATGGGAGCTTGTAAGCCGGGAGGGCCTTGCAGAGGAAGCTACATGTGATGGATGGGGAAAAAAAGTTCCCCAGGAAGACTGGTTGAATGAGGGAGAGGGAGTAGGTCAAGTACGTCCAAATCACAGTGACTGATGGAAACAGAGTAAATGAGGAGTGATCCAAAAAATATAGGGAAAGGCAAGTGTGAGTTTTTAATAAAGAAACCAGTTCCATTTTGTTTATCCAAAGGAGAAGAAAAACAAATATTATTGGAAACATGCAAGCTGTGTTTTCTCTTAGCTGCAGCTGCTAACCATACAGGCTTCCTGGCAGAGAGCAGGTTATCCATCCTGTGACTATGTGGACACACCCTACGTTAGGCCCCAGGCAAAGAGATAATAATAGTATGCACGCGGGCAGCCAGCGCTCTGGAAGGGTTTATGAGGAGGAAGTCCGCAATTACATATTTCTGGGTAAACATTAACCAAGATTGAAACCCAGATTTGAAGAAAAATAACAGGCTGGAATCTTCAGACATATTCTGTAGCTGTTCTGTGGATTGAAAACAGTAGTCAGACGCTGCTGACGCTTAAAGCTAAGGTGAAATATTGAGAAGACAGTACGTACGACGTGGTAAGAGACCTTGATCACACCTGCCCGCGGCACGTGCTCTAGAACACATCTGAATGGTGAGAAACTATTTACATTCATTACAACAAAGCCAAGGCCACAACACAGGATCTATTGTTCACCTCAGAGCGATGACCGAATCTATTTATCCGTGTGGTTTAAGAGCCCACCGCTGTGCACCGAGAGGCCTCCTCTTGGCAACATTGCTAAGAGCATCTCAATCACTGTTACTACCATCTGAACAATTTTGGTTCCACGCTGTGGTTTTGTAATTTCCATTTTTAAAACTTCTTTGGCTGAGCCATGATGTGCCCAGTCTAGGTTCGGCATCCTTAAAATGAAACTGTTAAGCTAAAATTAGCTTGACATCAAGATGGCGCATGTTCATTTTCCTTTATAGTTGACCACAGTCATTATACAGAAGGCATCTAGTCTTTACCGTGCACTCTAGAGAACAGGATGGGCCGTGACAGTAACCAAAAAAAGAACTAAAAGTTTTTTCCGGAGGCAGATGGTGGTAACTACTGCCTGAACGGGTGTCTGCATCTTAGTGAGGTCAGCCGTGTGGGGAGGACTTTTCATTACACAGCTGTTTACTCTTCACTTATTTTGCAGTTAATCAAGAGTGATGGGACCTTTTCTAAAAGTTTTGCTTGGGGGCCCAGAATTTAACTTACGTCACCGCAGAGGAAGTGTTATGTAACAACACTTCCTCTTAGACTTTCTTCACCAAGTAACTTGCCTACTGCCCCATCCAAGAGGCGAAGATAAATTAAACTAATGTGATGTAGAGAAAAGAGTTTTTGACTAAAGACAGGAGATCCGAATTTTAGTTCACTTTCCATGTCTAGCTAGTTGTGTGGTTTGGGCCTTAATTTCATCAGACAAATTCAGAGGGTTGGACGAAGATTCTTCCGTTTCAAAATTCTGATATTTTCCAACTCTTCTGAGAGAAGGACGAGAGTTTTTTGAATGTCAAATGGAACAACTGCAGAGGAAAGAAGAAAACCTTCTATTCACCCCATAAAATCAATATTTAGATTTTTTTTGAATTCCAGAATATCATGTGGAAAGTTACTACACCTCAGGGATAAGATTTCTTGCGAGAGAATGTACATTATCCTTGGCTTTGTGTTGCATTTGACTTTGATATTCTAAGCAATATATTTTTGTTTGTTTTGTATTATTCTGGTTCTGCTATCAGCTATCATTCATTTGACTGGGACAGGTTAGTTAAGGCAGAAGTGCAAGCCTTTCTGATCATAGGCTGAACTGTATATCATATTTCATCCTGGATTTTACTAGTTCAGTTTTCAAAGTAACAGCCTTTAGGTATGTCATAGAGGGATGCTTAATGGGTTATGTCAAGCAGCCCATCTAAAATGAGAATAAAAGTTTACTTACAATCCTGCTGTTTACTTCTAATGCATTTTAAGAACCTTTTTAGCATTGCCTTTCCCTCAATATTCATTACATTGTGGTTACTAAGGAAGAAAAATCTATGGCGCCCTATGTCCTGTTCTTCTGTGACTAACCCCAGATATGGAGGGGAGGCAAACAAGGAGATCAGGGCCTTGGACACAGGGGGAGGTTGAAAGTGAGACTGACGGACTTACAAGACACCAAATTCTAAAGAACACTTTTATGTTGTGCCTTGTACATGAAAACACTTTGTGACAATTACCACTTATTTAATGACTCCTGAGGGATCTTTTAGGTTGAGAGTTGTAGGACTTTTTCTGCTAAAGGGCCAGATAGTAAGTATGTTGTTATGCCTTGTGGGTCATGAGATTTCTGTCCCAACTACTCAGCTCTGCCTTTGTAGCATGAAAGCAACCATAAATGATATGTGAGCGAATAGGTGTGCTGTGTTCCAATAAAATTTTATTTAGAAAAATAGGCCATGGGCTAGATTTGGAGCCATACTTTCCTGAACCCTGATCTAAATTATTGGGATCACCCACATCGTTATCAATAACAAACATCTTGCACCTCTATTATGCAATTTATGGTAGAGTTAGTGTTGCAGTTGAGAAGGAAGGCTGAGCACCTGTGGCCCACAACTCAGTATCAACTCACCCATCAGAAAAAGACCAGTTTTTAAAGGAGAAAACTAATAATGTATAGTAATGAAGATCAAAACAGATTCTCTTTTGATTCTGCAGGTGTACCTTTAGCTGTACCTAAAATTTTAAAAGTATCTGCAGGAATTGATACCTTTTCAATTATTATGTACCTTTCCCTTTTGTATTACTCTATATCCCGCCCAAATTATGAAATTAAAATCAAACTCCTGAGTACTTCTGAGTATTCAAGCTCTCTTTTGGAGACATCCAGCTGGTCCTACAGCATGTTTTAAAAATTTTGAGATGTCAGGTGACAAACATTCTAAGCTATGCCACGACTCTTTCTTATGGTTGATGTTGAAATGAGCAAATGTTTGTAAAAACAAGGGTATGTATATTCACTTTTTTCTCTAGCATCATGGGATTGACCCAACCCAAGATAAGGTAAGATTAATTTCGTTGGATCCATTTTTCCTGTTTCTACTTTCAAGCCTGAACATCCAGTTTTCCTGGTGATCACAGATGAAATTAAACTCTCATTGTTTCAGGCCATTCAGGAGATGGGTGGACCCGTAGTCCTAGTATAACTGCTTATTTTTATCTTTGTTTTTGACTCCAGTTGTCCTTCATAATAGAAGTCTAAACAAAACTGTGGTTCATGGATGTGATTATTTTCAACACTCTGGCTGCTAGTGAGGCTCTAATTTTAGGAGTGATAGACCTACACATAGGGTAAGATTCTAGGGGTGGTGAAAGAACCTATTGTGCAACATTATCTTTTTTCTTTAGTGTTTGAAAACTCACATTTTTTTTTCCCTTCGGACATATTCAAATACATGTATTTTATGTGGTAGAGGGGTATTATTGGCCATTAATGTTTCATCACAAACTTGCGTATATCACGGTGTAGAGAGAGTCCTAAGCCCCAGACAGATGCTTCTAAAAAGAAGGAGAGTGGTGATTTGTTCTCTCTTTTACTATATCATTTTCTCACTCCAGTTCAGTAACACTGAAAATACAACCCTCTTCTGGAATCTGCAACAAATTCAATGTATAATCTCTGGAACATGCTGATCAATTAAAAAATAGAGAAATAATAAACTGCTTCATTTTCTCAAATTTTGTTTTTAGTCCGTGTAATCTTGATGCCGAAGAAACTTCAGTAATGAGAACAGCTGACTTTATCTGCACTCATTGGATGAAAGTTCTTTTCTGATGGCCGATCAGAACATATCAAAAAGTAGAAATGATTGGAAAGGTTATATGAATTTTATTTCACCTTTTGATGTACCTCATTTAAAGATAAAACAATTTTACAGTAAGAGACTCTGTCAGTAGTGTTGAGGTCTGATTCACTTTTTTCCCCCTCAATTCTTAAGCTTTTCTGTGCTGAGGAAATTGGTGTGACAACCGAGAGGAAGAAATTGAGATTGTTGTACTGGCAAACCTCGGGACATGTGTAAATTGATAAGTTCTCAAGGGAGAATCGCTCTATGAAGAGTCTTTGCCAGACCACATTAGCTTTCCCCAGAAGTCAAGAGAACGGCCCCTGGCTAACACTGAGAATGGTCAACCAGGAAAAAGGATGTTTCTTCAAAGAGAAAGAGCCCAAGAATTAGCATCATGCCAGTTCTGTGGAAAAGGGGGCATTGCAGATTCTGGGTGAGAGACTCTAGGAGTCTCACCAAGTTTGTAGGAAATATTACGTCTTTTTGATTTCAGAAAACTCTTTAGAACAAAGTGATACGGATAAAGATTCTCAAGGAGGGAGATTCAGAGATGATTTTCTGTTGTCAAAGAGGGCTCTCCCTGGAGCAAGGAAGAAAACTTGTCATGTTCAATACACTGTGAACATTATTAGGAATCGTAATGCAGGCATAGCAAAGGGGTTTCATGGAAACTGTTGAGGATTCTGGGAATGTTTGGCCTCAGCAGAAAAGAGCAACTTGATGAATTAGTAATGTCTGCTGTAGGTGTGTGAGGGGGAAGTAATTGTGCACACAGTAAGTTTGCTTGAGGTACAATCTTGTGGCAAGTGTTTTGATCTTGTAGAAGAGGAAAAAATCCTTTCCTCCACCCTTTTAAGTTTAGTGGATGGGGCCTGTGAATTAAACTGGCAGAAGACAGGTTAACAGGAGAAAAGGTCCATTTTGCATGCACATGGGAGCTTCACAGAAAAGAAGTGAAAACCCATAGAAGTGGTTAGGCTTGGGAGATTAAACATCATTTAACAAAGGGCAGTAAATTGTGGAAAGTAATGACAAAGGAGAAGGGATTTGGGCTTCTAGGGGGCGGTAAATTGTAAGAAGGTAAATATATGGGGGAAACTAATGGAAGATAAGAGTTATTTTAATAAGGCTTGTTATGCAGACTCAAGGGTGCCATCTTCAGTGACTGAGAAATTCTCCTCTTCCTGGCACGGGAGAGGGGAAGGAGGACAACTTCGCAAATACAAATTGATGCTCTGCTGTTAGGAAATAAGGGGGAGGGCAGAGAGGTTCCTCCTTGTCTGTTGTTTCTTAATTGTGTTCAGCACAAAATAATCCTTATGCCAAAGTGGGCTGTTTTGGGGTGGCATATTCTCATCCTCTTTATCTGAAATAAAGATGATGTTACCTTAAGAGCTATTGTGAGAATGGAATGAGATGGTGTCTCTGAAAGCACTTTGAGAACTGTAAAGCATTCTACAAGTGTAAGGGTTTATTCCCATATTTTAGGTTGCATTTTCCCCTTCAAACTGAAATCTCAGTTTCATATAAATTCACGATGAAATTGACCCAGTTGAAGGAAATGGAATGGAGATGAGAAAAAAAACCCTTTATATATCTTTCCAAAAATGCACCAATTCTTGTACTGTCAATAAACAGCAGAGGAAGATAGGAATGGAGCTAATTATGTGCAAACATCCCTTGACTCCTTTACTTCCCATCTGAATTTAATTCTAAAAAAAGAGACCCTGATGGATTCCTGCTTTCAGGTATAATTACCTCAAAATTGACTGACGTTTAAAGCACACACGACACTGTTTAGCTTTAATTAGAGTAAATTGGTGGAATTTATTTGACCGGTAGTTTTGGGGATGGTTGGAGGCTGAGAATATACTTAGCATATCATTTCCTGCTGATGCTAAGATTTAGCCCCATCAGAGAATTCTATATTTAGGATAAAATCACTTAAGAAATGTAACCCAATCATTGTTATGACCATGAAGTAATCAGTCCAGTCAGGGAGAGATGCTCTGAGAAAAAAAAATTGCCGCTGACAACAGCAGAAACCAAAAATCCACAAAAGTTTTATTTAAACAACCTTGAAGTTTTTCTTGATTTAATAATGTAAAAATTCTTTTGCCTTGCTATGACATTTTTTGACATTGATAATAGGAACACCAAAAAGAAATGCAGTATATGAGAAGTGTCTTAGACCAACTCCAAAAGTATGAATAAATACATATTCGTTCGTCTGAGTGTCTCTTATGATTGTTTCAAATTTCTCCATATTTGTGGCTATTTCTTCTTCTTTCTAATTTTGTTAACTTTCTTTTTTTCTGGGTTAGGCCAGCTAATGGCTTGTTATTTCATTAATTATTTCAAGGAATCAGTTATTAGATTTATTTATCACTAGTACTCTTATTTTTTAGTATTGTAAAATTAACCAATTTAATTTCCCTAATTCACTTTTTTCATCCTTTTTACACTTCCTTAATTTTATTTTGTTGTTCTTTATCTAGTATATTGACTTGAACGCTCAATTTATTTTTATTCTTTCTTATTTAACAATGTGTTTATGATTGTGGTTTAAACCCTAAGAGTTTTAGGTTGTTACATATGTTTTAGTATGTAATGTATTCCATTATTATTTTGTAGATATTTTGAAATTTTAGTTTTGTTTTTTTCTTTGACCCAAGTGTTGATTCAAAGTAAATTTCTTAATTTCTATGAGATCTAATTTTTTTCTTCTTCTGTCCTTCTTTTCTTTTTCTCCTTTTCCTCCTCTTTATTTATAGTTTAATATCACCGGAGGTCACAGTCAGATTATGTATTCTGTGCTATTTCTATTTCTTTTTGGTTTGATTTATGGTCAGAATTTTATAAATGTCCCATAAATTCTTGTAAAGCAGATGTATTTTTAAAAAATTAGGATAGTAATTTCTATATATCTATTATGTTCATGTTCATCAGTTATCTAATTGACATCCAACATGCTTAATTATTTTTTCTCTAATTGAGTTTCCGTGGACTAAAATTGTGATTTAAAGTCCCCTAATCTTATATTTTGGTCTATTTTTCTTTGCATTTCTCATGGTCTCTATATGAATTTAAAATAACTGTTTTGTGCATCTAAACTATACTCTCATTGTCGATTGTATTCTTTATCATAAAGTTTTCTCTTTGTTCTGCTTAACATGTTTGATTGAATTTAATCTTACCTAGTACTGATACTGTGACCAACATTTATGATTGTATTACAAATGCAATAATTATAAATTAGATGAGCAAAGAAAACCATAGCTCCTTTATTTTCCACACCTGAGCTAATTTTCTTCATAGGCCATTTACCCTGCTAGAAAGGAAGGAAACCAGAACTTTGTTAATTAATGGTATCCCAGGCCCCTTGCTTACTCATGCTCTTTTGGGTAAATGCGCAGGTTTTTCGGATGCCCCTCGCCTCTCCCTGCGTGTCCTCAAGGCGGCATCTTGGTGTAAGAGGCTGTTTTATGGAACGTGGCAGGATCCGTCACCATTCTCCGGATCCTTATTGGTCTGTGTTGCAAGGGTCTGATGAGGTAGGACTGGTCCTCTCTGGGCTTTTGGGGGTGCTGGCATTGGGGTGAGAAATTTTCGTATTCCGTGGCCTCTACTTTTTCTGATGCTCCATCTCTGTTGCTCCACTGGCCTGTCTAGCTCTTCTGGGTCCGCTACTAGGGGACATAGGAACATCTTGGTCCTTACGAGCTATATGCAGACTTCGAGGAAACACCACCATCCTAGGCTGCTGGGCCCAGCCCCACCCACCATCCCCCGCTCAATCAGTCATGTTGCCAATTTTCCCATGTCATGTTGACATGGCACTAGGCAATGAGGGGGGTTTTCCTAGAGGCCTGCAGCTTTCTGTAGGTCATGGCAGGGGAAGAGGGCTGCTAGCCCTGGTGTTTACAGCTTTCCTCGTACTTATTAGAATGCTTTTATAGCCTTATCCCTTTTTAATGTCCATTTTAGAAATTTTGACTCTCTGAGTTGCTTTGTGCTTTAAGTCAGAGATAAATCTAAAGTAGAGTTGTAAAGAAAAGTACCGTGTAACCTGAACATCTTTTTCCTTTAATAAGTATATTTACCTCAATGACCTGTGTTGCTGAACCATTAGCACATCCTGTTGATTTTATCTTCCAAACCTATCCCAACACCATCTAGGCTGTCTCCACCACTACCATCCTAATATAAGCTACCTTCTTTTTTGTTTGTTTTGTTTGGGTCTGAAGCAAGAGCCTCCAACTTTATCTTCCTGATTCTAATCTACAGAGCAGCCAGAGTGATTATTTAAAAATATGAATGAGATCATATGAGCCTGCAAGACTCAACAAAGACATCTCTTTACACTTGAAATAAAATTCCGATTCTCTCCCTGATTCTACACGGGCTCTGTTCTCTAGCCAACACCTACCTCTGCAGCATCATCTCCTGCCCCTTTCCTCCTCGCTGATCACACTCCAGCCAAACCACACTGACATTCTTCTGCTCTGGAACTAGACAAGCTCCTTCCTGCCTATGGCTCTGGGGCTAGTTTTCCCCATCTGTGGAATGCTCTTTCTCCAAGACTTCTTAAGGCTGGCTCCTCCCTGGTCTTGCTTTCAGTTGTCACGTCGTTAGAGTGTCTTCTGACCATCCAATCTAAGTAGTCTTCCAAAGATATTTTATCACACCCCCTTTTTTATGTTCTTTACCGTACATTTACTACCTGATTACTCTTTGGATATATTTCTTTATTGGTCTCAAGCAGCGAGATGTAAGCTGCATGAGAGTAGGAATATGTCAGTTATCACTAGTAATAATACTAATAATATCAGCAAAATAATATGGCATCTATTATGATCCTTCAGTCTAGTCCTGTTCTGAGCCCTTTCCGAATATTAGGTCTTTAATCATCCTTATAATCTCATGAGGTACTGTTGTTATCCTCTCTTTATAGTTGAAAGCACTGAGACACAGAGAATTTCAGTGACTTATCCAAGGTCACATGGCTATTAAATGATAAAGTTGGGATTTGAACCTCGGCAAAGACTCTGCACTGCTGTGCAGTCTCAGGAGTTAAAAGATCCCAATAAGGCAGAGACACTCCTCTTGAATACTCAGTAGTTGGAAAGATAGGCAAGTGAAAGAAAAACCACAATAAAGTCTGATAAGTTTTATATTCCAGGCATCAAAGGGGGGCTAGGAAAGCATATACGTGGGACATCTTATTTTGTTAAAATGCATTAGAAAATTCTGAAATACCTTCATTCGTGTGTTTGTTGGGTCATCTACATTTGCTTACAAAGGTATCCGGCATCGTTACTATAGAAACGGGGAGGTAGCAAGATGAAACGCTTTCCAGTATAAAACATACTGCAAAACAGAAGTCTGTAAGACTGGACTCTTTTTCCAAAATGATTTTGATATTGCTTTCCTATTCCTTTACCTTGGCTAAGGGAGAGATGTTTTAGAAGATGAAAGGGGATTTTAGGGACGTAAAGACAGTGTGGCCAACCATCAGGATATTTGCCTGCTTTGAAGAAACCATTTTGAAATAATGAGGCATAATTAATGTCAGTGTTTAGGGTTATGTGAAAGTTTGCCAAGATACCTGGTGCAATTCTAATGGCCAGAAATGACAGCTTGATCACAGGTATGCCAAGTAGCCATCCCATGCCTCGATGAATTTAGCAGTAAAATGAGATTAACTGTACATGTCAAGTAATAACTTAGCCTACGATCACCACCAAGGATGGCCAGCCTTCATTTCGTGCCAGGAGCTAGTCTAAGGGCCTTGCAGTTTATTGAATCCTCACTGCAAACCTGGTGAGGTAGGTATTATTATCCTCCCTGGCTTACTGATGAGGAGGTTGAGGCCCAGAGAGGTTAAACCATTTGCTGGATATCACACAGCTACGGAGTGTGAATCTGAACCCAACCATAGCGTTGTGTCACTAAAACAGCAAATAATCACCACAGTGGAGTGGCTCCTACTGGCCTGGTGCAGCGCTAGGCACTTTCATGTGTTTAACCCCGTGAAGGAAGTGTTGTGCTCGTACTACAGGTCAAGAAACTGAGACTCAGATAGGGTTAGGGAATTTTCCCAAGGGTATGTGAAACCAGGCCTGTCTGGATCCAGAGTCTATCCCCGCTAGTAACTCATTAAACTCTCTAAACCAGAAGGCGGAGTACTGTTTCCCTTTCCAGGATTGCCTTCCCCACCCCTGTTCTCCTTTGGTACTTTCCTCTCACTCTTTGTGCTGTTATGATACATGGTTCAACAATGTGCATAATATAAAACGTGGCAACATTTTCTGAGCCCAGATTAGGTGCTGGGCGTTGCGCTAAAAGTTGTTTCCCTTTAATTACCTCCTTTAATCCTCCCAGCAACCAAATATCACAGGTACTCTTCTCAGCACCATTTTCTATACAAGGCCACTGAAGGTGAGAGGGATGCCCTTGCAGCTGTCTTGCGAAGAGTCTGGTGATGCAGTTTTCCTGCGAGAAAATGGAGCATTTTAAAGCCACACTGCATTCCCCTGCCCCGGGAATAAATCAGCCAGCTTCAGAATGCTTTTAGTTCCTGAACCTTAAAAAACACGCAATCCTGTTTTAAAATTTGTTTTTGTTTTTTTGGAAGCAGGGTGGTTTGGAGGTGCATTCTTTGCGGTGTGTTTCTTGAAAAGTGCCATTGGGCTAATCTGGTTAATTCTGGCCGCTTCCTCTTCTCCTGTCTTTCTGTGGCTCTGTCTTCTGTTCTCAGGACGGCCACCGTTGGCTTGTGTCTACTGAAGGAACAAGTGGATGGGGGGTTGGGGGTGGTGGTGGTGGGGGGGCAGGGTGCTGGGGCCCTGGGAAACTCATTTGCATACTTCTTGTTACAAAGGCCGACCACATCCTGGTTAAGACAATGTGCTGCCTGATAAACAGACTGCATCCCCCAGTGTCTGCCTGGAGCTCTGCCAGCGTGTGGTCCGCCTTTGTCACAAGGTGCTGTTTATTCTGCCTGGAAGTCCAAGGACAGGACAACCCAGCTAAATGAACCTTTTATTCCTCCCATTCTCTGGCAGGAATTCCTTGGGTCAAAAATATTTATTAATATTAGATTAAGGGAGAGGCATCCAGAATTCGCCAAAGAAGCTTCCCTCGCACTGTGGAAAACCTATAAAAGGTTTTGACCTTCCTTTCTGGCTATAAATGCTTTGGGGATTGGGGGAACTAGGGAACTTGGAAGATACAGTGCAAGCGCAACATAAAGATCAAGGTTTGCCAAGATTTTGTGTTGATAAATATTTATTTCCACATCTGTTTT